TACCAGAGGCCGTTCACATGCAGCCAGCAGGAAATAAAAGCTCCATCACGGCCCCGGAGGGCCTACAGCCTGCATGTGTGAGGCCTTTGTGGGTGCTGAGGCCCAGGTGGGACTGTTTACCTGGTGGTTCTCCACCTTGCCACAGACGAGCATTGCCTGGGGTGCTTTGGAGCAGAAGCCAGACTGAACCTGAGGACACGGGTGGGAATTGCAGGAGAGACACAGACGAGCGCGCAAACATGCAAACACACACACACACACACACACGCACCTCCAACATGTGACCAAAGTGCAGAGCCAAGGGTTTGAGACCACTAGGGTTGGGCTGGGCTGACCCTGGGCAAGTCACTAACCTCTGAGCCTCTCTCTCTGAAAAGTGGGAATCACTCAAACGTGTACTCCACCGAATGACTGTGCAGACTGTGGAGACAGTTCTGTGCGTGGGGGTCGCTGGGGTGGGGGCAGGGCCCTGTACTGCACCAGAGGCCCCGCCAGGTGCTCGGGTCTCTGGTCCCTCTCCCTGCCCTTCGCTGCTCTGGCCCCGCAGGTCCAGGAACTGGGCTCTGCGCCCGGCCCCGTGGAGGGAAAGCCTGCTTCTCCCCACTGGACAGGGAGCTCGTGCCAACAGCCTGTGCGGAAGCACTTGATTCCAAATACTTTTGAGGTAAAAAATGAGTAACGATTAAGGGAACGAGGCAAACCAACGGTGCTCCCCCTTCTGGTGCTGTGTGGCTGCCAACACGCAGCCTGTTATCCTGCCTTTGATGCAAGCCTTTGTGTAAGGTGTGGGAGCCTGGAAACGGGCCTTGTTTGTTTATTATGTTAGTTCTGAGGTCCAAGTCCTCCATGAGCACTGGAGTGTGAATGTGCAGAGGGGTGTGGGGTATGTATTCTGAATGTGTGCATAGGTGTTTTGAGTGTGCACGTGTGTTAGTGTGTGAGGTTCTTTAGGTGAATGTATGGGTGAGCATGTGAATGAATCTGAGTGTGTGTGTGTGTATGTGTGTGATTGTGAGTGTGGTGTGTGTGAGGAGTGTGTGTGTGAGTGTGTGTGTGGTGGTTGTAAGGTCTAGGCCGGGGCAGGGATGGGACAGAAAAGGGGGAACTTGAAACTGCTGCAACCTGCATCCCGGAGACCAGCTAGAGCTGGACCTCATAAGCAGCAATGAAAGAACAACCAGTTCTGAGAGAAAAAAAAACTTCTTTGAAAAGCAACTTCGGGGCCTCCTGGTGGCGCAGCGGTTGAGCGCTGGGTTGCGAAGCTGCCCACAGCCTCTGCAGTGCTGGTTCGATCCCCGGCTGCTCCCCGGCCACCAGAGGAGGGTCCCACATGGCGCGCAGACCTCTCCTGCCGCCCGCTGCTCCCCTCAGCAGTGTATTTCGGTCCATCTGCCTGCTCTGCTCCCCGCTCTGGCTCTGGTGAATTCTCTCACCCTCCCGCGCTTCTGACTGTACCCAGTGCTTGTGTAAATAAATAAATAAATCTTTAAAAAAAGAAAAGCAACTTTGACTCCGCATTCTCCACCTCCTGCCAAGGTCAGACCCCGCCCTATCAAAGCTCACCCTCCTCCCCCAAGGGTGAGACTTCTCTGGCCTCTGTGGGGGTTGGTGAACCTTGCCCGAGAGAGCAATAAAATCTCTGCCTTTCAGAAACTAGGCCTGACTCTCTCTTTACTGTGCCAGAACTTTTCAGTGGTGTGTGTGTGGTGTGTGAGGAGCATGTGTGGTAGTGTAAGGAGTGTGTGTAGTGTGTGTGTGAGGAATGTGTGGTGCATGTGAAGAGTGTGTGGTGTGCGTGTGGTGTGTATGAGGAGTGTATGTGGTGTGTGTGAGGAGTGTGTGTGGTTGTGTGAGGCGTGTGTGTGGTGTGTGTGGAGTGTGTGTGGTGTGTGTGGAGTGTGGTACGTGCGAGGAGTGTGTGTGGTTGTGTGAGGAGTGTGTGGTTGTGTGAAGAGTATGTGTCTGTGGAGTGTGTGTGAGGAGTGTATGTGGTTGTGTGAGGAGTATGTGTCTGTGGAGTGTGTGTGAGGAGTGTGTGTGGTTGTGTGAGGAGTATGTGTGTGTGTGTGTGTGTGGTGTGTGTAGGGCTCCATGTGCTGGGAGGTATCCAGTTGGAGGGTTTCTAATCTCCCAGCTGGTCTCTGGATCCTGCTGACTTTATCCGCCCCTAAACCCTGTGCAAACTTAAGGCAACGCAGGCTGAGACCTTCTCTGACTGCCAAAAGCCACCCGGAAGCTGTTTCCATTCTTCTGGGAAATCTGTGCCTTCCCAGGAACCGTAAGGGTGCTTTGCTTTGTAAAATGACCTTCTCAACAAACAGGCCTCCCCGCCCGGCCCACGCGCTGGAGGGAGGGGAGCGGAGACCCTGGTCCTGCTCGCTTCATCACACGCCCCGGGCACCTGGTAGCTCCCTTCTGCTCTCCGGTTTTTGCCCGGAGCCTGGAGGGACAGGCCTGCCCAGGCAGGTGTCCCTGTGGTCATCCGAGGCCTGAGCCACGCAGGTCCTGGGTTGTTCACTGTTGCTTCATTATAACACTGATGAGAAAAAGCAGCTGCTTCTCTGCCGGGACGCTGTGTGTGGAGCTGGCACTTTCTGCGGGGTCCAGTGGGCTTCCCCGGCACCCTGGGCTCCTCACACACCCCAGAGATGGGCAGGCGAGGTTCACTGGCTCTCTCAATTCTCCAAGGTGGAGTGTGTGTGTGTGTGTGTGTGATACACCCTTCAGTGCAGGGCGTCCCGTCCATGGTGAGGGGGTTCCCGCATCCGAAGGACCCTCCGCCCTCCACCCTAGCCTGGGATAAGCAGGAGTGAACACAAATGAGTGTTGGTTGTTAGGCATGTTTGGGATCTTCACTAAGAAGCTGGGTGATGTTTTCGTGGTTAGAAATCTGCCATAGGCACGTAACTCCTGCTGAGGCCTCTGGGGGCCCTGGTTTCTTTATTCCCCGTTTTGCTGTAAGTCGCAGTTTCCTAGAACCTGTCAGTAATGTCAGGCGAGGACTCACTGAGTTTGTAAATTAATCTTGGCATGCTTTACTCCTTTGTGTTAAAAGCAAGATATGCAGGCCCAAAATGGAGCCACTTATGCTAAGCCCCATGTCCCCAAAGTCTCCTTGAAGCAGATAATCAGGAACCTCTGGCCAGTTAAGTCAGACTCCGCCACCCCCAAAATGAAGGTGACCTTGCAAGAACCGCCAGCTTTTTGCCTGGTGTGGCTTCCTTGTTCTGCTCCCTCGGGCCTGTAAAAGCCCATCGCTTTGTGCAGCTCCCCTGTGCTCCGTCCTGTCTCCTGTATCTCTGTGAACTGGATGCGGCCCGATTTATGAACTGCTGAATAAAGTCAATCAGATCTTTAAATTTTGCTTAGTTGAGTTTTGTGTGTGTTTCTAGTTAAAATGTTGTACAGCTCCTCTCCTTAATGGACCCAATAAAACCTTTGATGTGCTTTCATTGTGTATTTGCTCGAGAGGCAGCTTTCTGCCTGAAAAAGTCTACCTTTGACAGGAGGTCCGTTATATGCTAAGTACTTTCCTAATCCTTTATGTGCTTATTTAACAAAGACGGAGAACACGTCTTCAGGTGCCACGTGCTACATGAAGTGCTTTGTGCACGTTACTCACTCCAGCCTCCGAGAGGCCCTGTTCCTCTAAATTTCCGTTAGCATTCACCAGCCCCTCTGGTCAAACTGAGGCTCAGAGAGTGGAGGTGTCCTGCCCAAGGCTGTGTCCTCATGAAGTGTCCAGGCAAGGGCCTGTGTGAGGGGCTCCCTCCATGTCAGCTGGGGTGGGGATCGGGCGAGGGGGGGGCACCAACTTTGTTTTGTGGGAATCTACATCTTTAGGAGCAAAAGGCTGGTGTTGACAGAGGGGACATAGAGTGATGAAAGGTTCTGGAAGACCCAAGACCCGCTGTGGGAGGGACTGTTCTTGCTGGGGACATTTTCTTTTCTTTTTTCTTTTAAGGATTTATTGATTTACTTATACAAGCACTGGGTACAGTCAGAAGCGTGGGAGGGTGAGAGAATTCACCAGAGCCAGAGCGGGGAACAGGACAGGCAGACCGACGAAATACACTGCTGAGGGGAGCAGCGGGCAGCAGGAGAGGTCTGAACGCCATGTGGGACCCTCGCCAGGGGCCAGGCATGGAACTGGCACTGCAGAGGCTGCGGGCGGCTTCACAGCCCAGCGCTCAACTGCTGTGCCACCGGGGAGGCCCACCGGGGACATTTTCTGATTGTGGCGGGGCCCTGGGCCCAGCTGAGGGTGATTTAAATATTGCCTCTCTTATTTCCTCTGGTGCCCTCTTCCTTCTCAGAACACAGACCCTAGTATTTTGGTCTTGTTTTTAAAGTGAGACCACAGTGGGTGAAGGCGACAGTGGAACAGCTTGCCACAGGAGACAGCTGCGGACTTGGGTTCAGATCCTGGGTCTGCCTTTTATGGGAACAAAGCCAGAATCCATTTAAATTGGCATTTAAACCTCAGTGGGGGGCCTCCCCGATGGTGCAGGTGGTTGAGCGCAGCGCTATGAAGCTGTCCGCAGCCTCTGCAGCACGAGTTCGATCCCCGCCGGCTGCCGAGCAACCCACATGGCGAGCAAATCTCTCCTGTCTCGCCCGCTGCTCCCCTCAGCAGTGTATTTCATCAGTCTGCCTGTTCTGTTCCCCGCTCTGTCTCTGGTGAATCCTCTCCCCCTCCCACACATCTGGCCTGTACCCCTGCTCTTGTATAAATAAAAAACTAAACTTAAAAAAAAATAAATCTCAGTGGGGTTAAGGAAATGCTTTCAACCCCTCACTTTTTCCTCTGGAGGTGAGAAAGGTCTCAGCAGGGCCTTGGAGTTGGGGAGGGGGCTGAGGTGTGCAAGAAGAGGGTCTCAGTGCAGGCGCAGCTGCAGGAGGCCTTCCAGGCCTGTTCCAGAGCAAAGGTCACCCGCACTTTCAGTGGCTTTTTTTTTTTTTTAGCTTCCTACCCAGCTTTGTTTACTTATAAGGAAGGTCAGCTTGTTATCGTCCCCGGGATTTCTGCAAATAGTTCCGGGTGCCAGCGAGTCCCGTTGAAAGATGGCTGGGCATTCAGTCTTGCTGGCTGCCGTCTCTGTCCTTTCTGCCTGTCAGCAAAGTAAGAGTCCCAGGCAGTGTGTGTGTGTAGGGGGGGGTGGGGGAGAGTTGTGAGGTGTGTGAAGTATGTGTTGTGTGAGGCATGTGATGTGTGCTGTGTGCATTTGGTGCAGGTGGTATGTGTGCGTGGTGCGTGTGTGTTTGATAGACGTGGTGTGTGTTGGGGTGTATGTGGTAGAGGGAGGGAGGTGGGGTGTTGTGTTTCACACTTACTGGGTACTTGTTGGTGGCCTTGGTGTTCCTCAGAGCCCAGTCTGCGCAGGCTCGGACCCAGGCCCCTGGGGACAGGCAGAACTGCCCAGGAGTTGTTCCCCTGGGGGCAAGGTGGTTCCAGGAGCTCAGAGATTCTGCCTGCGGGTGGTCGGGCCCCAGCCAGTCCCAGGAGCCCGGGAGCACCCTGACCCAGAGCGGACCTGGGTGTGAGCTCGAGCTCGGTGTGTCCCCAAGGCACACTGTCCTGTCCTCGGCCAGGGCTGCGATTTCTCCATTCCATTTTCCTTAAAGTGTTTTCTTAAATAAACTGCCAGTGGCACGTATGATTATCAGGTTGAAAAGATCTCCTGGCAAAGTATGAGATTCAGCTAAAAAACTCATTCTAAATTTTAAAGCCTCTCACTAGGACGGTTCAGTATCTGCATTGTTTGGTTAAACTGAGGCTTTTTCCCAGGAGGGAGGTCACAGAGGCTCAGTTCACCTGATCGCAGCTACCAGGTGACCTGACATAATGACAGGAGGGGGGCACTGGTGAGCGAGGCTGCTTACTCCTTACTAAGACGCAAGTGGGCTGGCACTGGGAAGCAGGGCTGGGCTGTGGGCTGGGGAGTGGCAGGGACGGGATAGCCCGGGCCTGAGGCACGCCCGCTCAGTGTTTCTCTAGCTAGTCTGGTTAGTGAACGTGCAAAAATATTAGACCATCTGGCACACATTTTGTGGTTTGATTATTTCACCAGCAAAATGGGTTTATTCAGAAACAATAACCAAAAGTGAGTAGGGAAGTGTGGACCCCCAGGGAGACACGCACACCCTGGCCTAGAACAAAAGAAGGTTCTTTTTACTGAGGTGATGCCGGTGTCCAATGGTGTGTTTTAGGGATGCAGGCTGGCACCTTTTCAAATGTATGTTACCACCACCCCCGCCACCAAAGCATCAATCACCCCGACCACAGTCCGTGGGGCCTCCTCCACCCTTCCCTCCCACCTGCCTGAACCCCCTGGTAACCTCAGTTCTAGTGTCATTCTAAGAATTTGTTTTGGTTTGGTCTGTTCCTTTGTTTTTTTTTTTTTCCCTCTTTGCATTCCATATTTGAGTAAAATCAAATCATGTATTTGTCTTTCTCCTTCTAACTTATTTCGCTTAATACAATTTCCTTCCAGTTCCCCCACGTTGCCACATATGGCAAGATTTCCTTTTCTCTTTTACAGCTGAGTAGTATTCCACGGAATATAATATAGACCACATCTTAATCCACTGGTCTTGAACATCCTTGGACGGTGAGGTTGTCTCCACATATTGGCTCTTGTTAATAGTGCTGTAATGAGCATAGGGGTGCATGTGTCTTTCAGAGTTAGTGTTTTCCTATTCTTCAGACAGATACCTATGTGTGGACTTGCTAGATCGTATGATAAGTCTATTTTGAATGTTCTGAGGATACTTTATATTGTTTTCCAGTGGGACTGGAAAACAGTCCTCATTCCCGCCAACAGTGCACAAGGGATCCTCACATCCTCAGCAACACTTGTTTTTGGTCTTCCTCATCTCCAGGGAACCATGGACCTGCTTTATGTCCCTATAGATTCATTTACATTTTTAAAAAATACTCTTTTCAAGATTCATTTTTATTTATTTATGCACACAAGAACTGAGGTGCAGGCCAGATGTGGTGGGTGGTGAGAGGTTCCACCAGAGGCAGAGAGGGGAGCAGAAGAGGCAGATCTACAGAAAACACTGCTGAGGGGAGCAGTGGGGAGACAGGAGAGGTCTGCTGGGCCATGTGGGTCAGCTCCCTGGCCGGGGAGCGAACTCAGGCTGCAGTGGCTGGCGATAACTTGATAAAGCTGAGACTTTAATTTAACCCCTGCGCCATCAGGGAGGCCCTCATTTGCATTTTTAAGAATTCTATTTAAATGAAAGTATACAGTAAACTTTTTTTTGTATCTTTCATTCAGCATAGTTTTTCTGAGATTCATCTAAGCTGTTCACGTATGGGTAGTTCATTCCTGTTTATTGTCGAGTGATCACCCGTTGTATGAATGCACCACGTAGACCAAACCAGCTCACTTGTTCATAGACATCTGTGTTAGTCAGGGTGCCCCACATAAACAGAACCAATAGAACCCCCCCCACACACACACACACTTTAAGAAATTGGTTCATGCAGTTGTAGGGGCTGGCAAGTCTGAAATTAAAGGAAGTTCTAGAAGGCTGGAAGCTCCAGCAAATTAACGAAGCCTCTTTAGTTTGCAGACAGAATTCCTTCCTCTGGGCCACCTCAGTCTTTTAAGACCTTCAACTGATTGGATGAGGCCCACCCACATTAACCAGAATAATCTTTTTTTCCAAGTCTATGGATACAAATGTTAATCACATCTAAAAATCACCTTCACAGCAATATCTAGACTGGTCACTGTGGCTTAGCCCAGCTGACACATAAAATTAGCTACCACAGAGTCTTTCCTAACCTTAGCGGTTACAAACAAATCGATTGTGAACATTTGCATGGAGTCTCTGGGTGCCCGCGATTTCATTTCTCTTGGGGAGATGCCCTCAAGTGGAATAACTGAGTCACATAGTCCAAGTACGTCTAATTGAGAAATTCCTTGCGGACGGTTTTCTAAATGGTTGTGCTTTCAGGTTCCCGCCAGCGGTGCGAGAATGTTCCAATCACTCTCACAACCTCGCCTGTCTTTAGTTTTAAGCATTTAGTAGGTGGGTAGTGGCACCTCACTGTGGTTTAAATGTACTCTCCTAATGAACAGTGAGGTGCCACATTATTTTTTAAATAATTTTATTTTATATAAATCTTACATCATTTTTCATTTTTGTATAATGTATGCATTTTCGTTTTGGTTATATTCCCCACACAATTCCCACCCACTTTTTCTGACCCAGATCCCTCTTCTCTTCCTGCCGCCCCCCACTGTAGTGTGTCTGCTCTATAGAGGTGCCACATTTTTAACATCAGTTCCTCTTTGCTTGCAGGTTACTTTGCTTTGCATGTAGGAAAAGCAAGATTAAAGTACAAAATCACAGCCCCTGCCGTCTCTGGGTCACCAGAGTTTGAGAGAATATTCCGTGCACAGTAAGTAACGCTCCTGAGCCTCTGGGTCCCCGCACCTGCCATGTCCACATGTTCTGACGGAGGAAGGGGTGCGGAGCAGAGGCCCCCTAGAACTAAGCACCGTGCCAGTCCAGGACCCTCCCTAGGGCCCTTGAAGCCTGACATCTCCCGGCGTGGGAACACTCCACCTACCCGAGCAGTTCAGAGCACCTGCCGAGGAGGCTAGCATCTGGGGAGGGCCAGACCCTGCCTCCAGATGGGGTGCCTCAGTCAGAGGGTTCAGCAGCCTCAAGCTGGATGAGGTGCGCTCTCCGTGCCTGTCTTCCTTTCTTCCTTTGCTCTCGAGAACTGAGGCCGGGCAGCGTGATCCTCTGCTCAGGACCCATTTCCTAAAGGCAGACACCGCAGCTGGGCCGGCCTCGTGCCATGTGTGCCCTCAGCGTGTTGCTCTCCCTGTTCTGGCCTCCTCAGGCCCACACAGAATGTTCCTCCACAAATACCGTGAGTCTGCGGCAAGACTACTCCACCCCGCAGCTCGGCTCTAAAACACATCCCCATTCACGCAGCGCTTGGCTCCTGGGGCGCTCCGGGGCTCGTCCCCGTGTTCTTGGGTGAGGCTGGCCTGTGGTTTCCTCTCTTGTGGGGTCCTTGACTCCTTTTATATCAAGAATACACTCGTCTCACAGAATGAGTAGAGAATTTTTTTTCTCAGAGAAATTTAATAAGAGTGGAAGAGTGTGTTCCTTCAGAGTTGAGAGAATTTGCTTGTTAAATGACCTGGAGCTGATGCTTTTTCTTGTGGAAAAAATTTAGACTATGGGATTGAATTTCTTTAGTGATTGTGGGACTATCTGGGTTTTTCACTTATGTCTTGAATCAGTCTGGATAAGTCAGGGTGCTTGATGGTTGGATGAAGAAGATGTGGTTACATACGCAGCCTTGAGAAAGGGAGAAATACAGGCATTTTCAACAAAAATGGGGGGATTTTGAGAGAATTACGTGTAGCAGAGTAAGAACGATACAACGAAATATTGGAGAGTCACACAGCAGACACTTCGTTAATGTAAAGCACTTTCAAGAACTTCAGTAAACTTCCTGGGGACTCTGAGGCTAAGTTGGGGGGGACAGGACGCAGGGGCTGGGGATGAACAAAGCCAGTTTCCTCCCTCGTTCATGGGGACTGCAACCTGACACCCACTTTTAGGACTTGATTTAATATCAGAATCCAAGCTATCAAATTTCCTTAAATAACCTGAAGGCCTTCAAGTCCAAAAGTACACACATTAAAGTATCCCAATAATTACAAAATTATGTTTTCATCCTTCTGTATTACTGGGGTCCAATTTTTACTCTAGCAAGTCTGTGTGATAGAAGATGACATCTTCCTAGGATTTTAGAAACGTGATGGTACCCTCAAAGAAAAAGATCCTCTGCGGTTCAAATTCTAAATTGTTACTCCATTGGTTTCAGGCTAAGTTGAACCCCCAGGCAGCAGCTTGTCAAGTGTGGATTTACCCCGATAGGGACGGCTGGGCAGTGGGTGTTTCTTAGGAACTGCTTCTTGGCTTGCTCTGGTCCTGTGGCTCCCGTGGGTGCATGCTTGTTGAGGGCTAGGTATTTGGGGGAACCTGGTCCTCAGGTGGCAATCCAGATGTGCAATCCAAGCTATTACTCAGAGCGAAGCTGGGAGCTGAGGATTCCTTCCAGCTGCAGGAAGCTGGGCTGGGGGTGGTGTCTCTGGTTAGTGTATCTCCTGCCTGTTCAGTGAGGGTATTTTCTTACCCGCCCCCTTGCTAGGAGTCACTCAGCCAGGTTCTGTATTTCAGAGGGAACTGCTCCTTGAGGCCCTGTGCACTTGGTTGTCTGTGGGTGGCGGGACATTCGGGAACTTCTGTGTTGTCATCTTTGTTACAAAAACAAAGGAAAACACATTTTTTAATTAAACAAAATCACTCACAGTGACTGGGCTAGAGGACTCGGGTCTTCAAGAGACAGAATCAACAATTTCTGGGTCAAGTGCCTCATAAGCTTAAGTACTCAAGCTTGAAGGCCCATCTAAGGTCGCAGGATCATGTAGAATTCTGCAGGCCGTGACTCTTCTACTCGGATCACCTCAAGACTTCATTACAAGTCAAAGCACTTGGTGGCTGTGATATTGCCAGCCAAGGGCGTCGCCAACCGGGCCAGGATCACCGGGGGTGCCATTCAGAGGGGAGGATGAGCATAATTCATTTTTTCCCTTGGCTAGGTGCAGATGAATTAATTATAGTTCTCAGAGAACTATTCCCTTCTGCTTAAAATAGCGTCAAGATTTCCTTCAGCGTCTTCTATGAATAGTGGCAACCTGACTCGATGGTAGGACAGAGCTTTGGAATCTGGAGGAGACGTGGTTGCACTTTCTCTGCAAAGTGCAGTGGGCTCGGCCTCATGGCTTTACCTTTTGCCTCTGCAAGACGGGACTGAACTGTGCTCAGTCGCTTTCTCACGAAGGTTTTAGGGGAATGATTTAAAGATCATATTTTAATGTGCTCAGTAAGTCAATTGGAAGGCAATGGATAGGAGGGGATGTGGAGGGAGAAATCCATTTAGGATCAATTGTGTTATTTTTTGGATTCTTTAGATAAGACACCAAATGATCTTTAGGCTCGGAATCAGGACATCTTGAAGCCTGTGTTTGGAAAACTGCCACGATTCATTGCGAGCACCGGCCACTGGCTCAGAGGAGAGGGGTTCCTGGCCCTCTTGGAGGTTAACAGTCTGAGTCCTCTTTGGGAAGACTCATTTTACCTGACAGGAGATTTAAGTTCTTGATGTAAACTCCTATATTATTTTTGTAAGAAAAGATTGAACATTTACCTCTAGAATAAAACTCATTGTTCTAGAGTAAAATTTTCTCATAAAATAACCCATGTCTTAATTTTTTCCTGCAGGCAAAACTGCGTGGAGTTTTACCCGGTGTTCCTGGTCACACTGTGGATAGCTGGATGGTATTTCAACCAAGGTAATTTTAAAATACTGTCAACTCAGTGCTAATGGTGACTATGGTCCTCAGAACTACTAAGAGTAGATATGAAGGGGCCTCCCTGGTGGCGCGAGGGGTTAAGACGCAACCTATGAAGCTATCCGCAGTCACTGCAGCACAAGTTTGATCCCTGGCCAGGGAGGTGACCAACATGGCGCAGTAGACCCCTCCTGTCTCCCCGCTGCTCCCCTCAGCAGTGTATTTCAGTCAGTCTGCCTGTTCTGTTCCCCACTTTGTCTCTAGTGAATCCTCTCACCCCCTGCATCTCTGGCCTGTACCCCAGCTCTTATATGCATAAACAAATAAATCTTAAAAAAAAAAGAGTAGATATGAAGCCACGTGTCTGCTGATCCTGGAAATTGTTTAAAACAGAAGAATCCACATCTGTGTGCTCAAGGGCACTGTGTGCTGACAGACTAATGTGGCTTCATTCCAATTTAATTCAGTAATTTTGAAAAACTGTGGAACAAACTCTAAGCTGGGCACACCAGGATACAGACTATGTGAGTGTTGTCTTCAAAGCTGCTACCCTAATTCTGATTTCCTGCAGGACAGAACACAGAATGAACAGCCACTCTCATCGTGAGAGCTAAGGTTTACTGGGCACTGATTATGCACCTGTGTGCTTTTAAGTTTTACACATTAAGTAGCTCTTACAGGACCAGCAGCCTTCCTACGAGGGTCCATGTTCCTACTTAACAGGGGAACAACCTCAAGTGCAGAGAGGTTCAGTGACTTATCAGACTTCAGTTTTGCCAACCTAGGAGAAAGCTAGCCTTCAGGGATGGAGCAGGGTCCCTAGATACTCACCCCACAATTCATATACTGAAGGCTACCAAGGACATAGTTCTTTTGTTATATGTAGCAATCCTACAACTTCTTGGTAAGGGGTATCCCAAATACCCCCCAAATACCCCTTTCTATTTGGTAAGGGTATCCTAGTGAACTGAGGGCACCCCCAGACTCCCCCTGCCCCTCGACAGGGGGTCAGACCAGCTCACCTTCCTTAGTTGGAGAAATTTTACCCCATTTTCTTTCTGATAAGCTCATTGCCTGTTCTGGGTCGGACACTTGGTTGCCACAATTTAAACAAACACTCCCCAGCTGTTTCAAAGACAGCCCCTTCTTTCTCGCAGTTTTGACTGTCACGGAAGGAAATTCAGATAAAACTTCCCTTACAGAAAGTCTTAACTTTATCCCAACTCACCGTTTTTGTCCCTGGAGGGCGTGGAAAAAAAGCCGTTGTTCCTTGTCAGGTGAGAGGCATTGGCGGCTAAGAAGGTGAGGGCCTCTTGGTAGCCTGCCTTCTCTGCTGCTGGGTTTCACAGTGATGGGCGGGACAAGGCCGACTGCCCGGCAGGAAGGGTTTCTGGGTTATCTGGTTTTATTCTTCTTTCTCATGTGAACTAAGTCACCAACTCACTGCCCCGGATGCGTCCCAGCAGGCCTTGGGGAGTTACTCCCGGGTGGGGCGTTTCACCACCAGGCATGCTCAGAAGCTTCCCACCTGCTGACTCCTGCTGGCCATTCTCACCCTCAGGCCCCAGCCCAGGCACCTGCCCATCCCTCACTATCCCTCACCGCCTCCTGGGCGGCTTCCTCCCTCCCTGCTGCCCCAGCCCATTCATTTTGCATCCCCACCAATAATGTGAGCGGTTCCTGGTTCACCAGCGCTCTGCCTGTCAGTCTTATTTATTTATTTATTTATTTATTTATTTATTTATTTATTTATTTATTTTTAAGCTTTATTTATTTATTTATACAAGCACTGGAGGGTGAGAGAATTCACCAGAGCCAGAGCAGGGAGCAGAACAGGCAGAAGGACCGAAGTACACTGCTGAGGGGAGCAGCGGGCGGCAGGAGAGGTCTGCGCGCCATGTGGGACCCTCACAGGCGGCCGGGGATGGAACTGGAGCTGCAGAGGCTACGGGCAGCTTTGCAGCCCAGCACTCAACCGCTGCGCCACCAGGGAGGCCCCTGTCAGTCTTTTTAGACTCAAGCCACTGGGGGAGGCGCAGGGGCTGTACAATAATGACATCGTGGTTTTCAGCTGTAATTTGCTGATGGAGAATGCAGTCAAGTTTGTCATGTGCTTATGTTATAGGTGCATTTATATATCTTCCTATGTGAGTTAGCTATTTAAATATTTTGCCCATTTGAAAAATAAAGTTGCTTTTCATGATTGATTTGTCAGAGTTCTCTGTGTCTTCTGGACACAAGTCTTTTGATAAATGTTTTGTGAGTATGTTCAGTTTTCACACATTGAGAGACTGCCTCCTATTCCGTGTCGTCTCTGTTCTACCTCCTCTAGTTTTCGCTTCTGGCCTGGGCCTGGTGTACATGTATGCCCGTCACGAGTACTTCTGGGGTTATTCAGAAGCTGCTAAAAAGAGGTAAGGAGAACCCACAATCTGGCGTCTGGGCACAAATAGCCGGCTGGAGCCTGCCCTTGTGTCCTGCCCAGAGTGTGTTTGTAGCAGGGCTGGTGTGATCGTAAAAGTGACCCATGTGGCCGTGGGCCAAGTCTCACCAGATCATGTACAAGGAGGTGAGACCGGAAACTGCAAACAGGAAACCACGCTCCAGATGTGCCGTTTCCAGCATCTTCCACTCCTTGCCAAAATTCTGCAATGCTTCCAAGAAGTTACCAAGCAGATCACCCTGCCCAGCCTTGCTAATCCTTGACTGTCCAAATGAATCAATTAACTCTGTGGCCAGGCGTCCCTTGTAGCTTGTGTGACGAGTCCCAGTCTTCAGATGGCAGAGGTCATGGGTGCTGTGGGCACTGAGGATGCTGGGCAGCCACCCAGGTGCAGCGCTTTGCTGTGGCCTAGAATGTCAGCTGCTCCCCTGTGTCTGCCCCGCAGGATCACGTGCTTCCGGTGGAGTCTGGGGGTTTTGGCCTTGATGACCCTCCTAGGTGCCCTGGGCATTGCCAACAGCCTTCTGGATGAATACCTGGACCTCGACGTTGCCAAGAAACTGAAGAGGTCCTTCTGATTCCGCCTCCCTTGCTCCTTGATGCGCAGAAGCTGTTTTACCCTGAAGGTTTTATGGGGATTCTGCTTCAATTAAAAAAAGCAAAGTTAGGCCTCCCCAGTGGCGCAGCGGTTGAGCGCTGGGTTGTGAGGCTGCCCCCGGCCTCTGCAGCGCTAGTTCGATCCCCGGCTGCTCCCCGGCCACCGGAGGAGGGTCCCACATGGCGCGCAGACCTCTCCTGCCACCCGCTGCTCCCCTCAGCAGTGTCCTTCGGTCCTTCTGCCTGCTCTGCTCCCCGCTCTGGCTCTGGTGAATTCTCTCGCCCTCCCGCGCTTCTGACTGTACCCAGTGCTTGTATAAACAAACAAACAAACAAATAAATAAATAAATAAATAAATAAATAAATCTTTAAAAAAAAAAAAAAAAGCAAAGTTTTATTTTCTTGCACCTCCCGTGTCTGGTGGGGCCTGGGCTGGTGCCCTGCGCCTCCCGTGTCTGGCGGGGTTTAAGCAGGCGGCTGTGGTGACCTGGAGCACGGTCGTTGGCCGGCACCACACAGACAACCTCGGTTCACTTTCTTGCTCTGCAAAATGAGGTCGACCTCATCCTCTGCAGGGGCCTTATGGAAACGGCGTTTCGAGCATAGAGAACATATTTTAACATCACGAAAACAACACTGTCAGATTTCCCAGAGAAAGGCGCACGGCCTAGACTCCGGTGTGGGCATCTTTCAAAGCTGTTTATCAGCCGTGTGTGTGTGTGTGTGTGTGTGTGTGTGTACACAGGACATTACAAAGGCTGTGAATAATAAAGAGAAATAAAGGCCAGTAAGTACTCATGCTTCCAGAAGAGTAGGGGGGACCTGCGCCTACACCCCAAACAGCAGCGCTTCCAGTCCCAGGGCACACTGAGCGCACGTTGATCTGGGAATGGGGTGTTCAGATGCGAGTCCAATTCCCTCCTCGCCGAGAGTTTGACTCTGGACCAGGCACCTCATCAGCAGAGGTGGAGAGGCACAGAGGGCGGGGTCCAGAGCCTGGGGGGCTGACCTCTCCCTATACTCCCCAGACCTCTGCCTCAGTTTTCTCTTGGGTAAAGTGGGGCTAATACTCATCAGTGCCGTGATCCTCTGGTCTTTTCACTTTTTACTATTCCAAAGAGCTGGGGTGACTCGGGTGGTGACGTTGTGTTTCCTACATTGCAACAACACACAGCTTCGATCCCAAGGCACGGCCAGATAATCAGATCCTAGGAAAGTGGCAACAAAGCCCAACTTTCCAAATCTTACATTTGAGGATTTTCAAACAGTGTCTAGTTTGCTTCTAAATTGGAATTGTTTAAAGACGTAAATGATAAATACACAGAGTTTGAACAATGTACGCCGTCAGCAGCTTTGTGCTTTGAACCATCCGCATCACAGGAGCTGCTGCCTTGGTGTGGACTGTTGGCCCGAGGTGCCGCTTGCTTATTTCCGTTCCCTGACATGGCTCCAGGGAGCAAACCAGCTGGCCAGAGGACCGCGTTTCCGCTTTGCCGTATGCTCTGATGTGTATTAGTAAATTGATTTTATTTTTGGCAATTGGATTCATTGCCTCAAAAAGTCAATGTCATGAAAAAAGGGGCAGAGGAGAACTTTTCAGTGTCTTAAGAACCCTAAATACCCAATGGCGATGTGTGTGGTGGGGGGTCAATCCAGCCCTGGCTAGAAATAAACAGGGTGGCAGTCACTTGGGGTGATTTGAACACAGGGCAAAGGTGACCGTGTTGGGGGCCTCACGTTAACCGTGTCGGGTGCTGTAACGATACTGTGGTCAGGGAGGGGCAGCCTGGATCTTGGGGTTGTGAGTTGAGAGGAGGCTGGAGATGCACAAAAGACGTGTGTGAAGGAGGGAGGCCAAGTCTCAGCAGAGCTGAGACCTGGCCGGAGGGGCTGTCCTGTAGGCACGCTGCCTCCTCCGCCTTTTCTGGTTATTTGAAACTTTTCATGGCGTAAAGCTTCAAACCCTGAAGGAAGTGCAAACCTAGAACCGGGGTCTTGGCAGCTGTCTGGGTTGGGCACTGACTTGGGGTCCAGGTACGACCAGAGCCCGGCATTCGCCTGCCCCCAGCAGTCCTGGGGGTCGGGGCTTGGGCCCAGGCATGTGGTCGCTGCCTCCACCTGTTGCTTGCCGCGAGCCAGGAGTCGGGAGGCTGGTCCGCATGACACCAGCGAGGGAGCGGACTTTAGAACTTAACAACAAAAAGGAGAATAGAGGCGAGAACTGAAAGGGGAAAGCGAGAGAGAAAACAGGCAAGGAAGGAAACAGACAGGCCTCCTGGGGCTGGACGTGGCGGGTGTGGTGGAGACACGCTGCTAACGACAGCTACGGAGCCACCGTTCTCCACCCGTTTTCTCCAGAAGCATCTTCCGCGGGAGAACGCCACAGGCTGGGCAGCTCCTCCAGAGGGCCCGGCACCCCCCCCCCCCACCTGGGCTGAGTCTTCCTGGGGAGCGCAGGCTCGTGGTTTCCATTATCCCGGGAGGCGGCTCCTTTCCCTCTGAGGCCTCCCCCCCACCCCTTCCTGCCCAAGTGGTTCTGCTCCTGCCTGTGCATCCCGGGGTCTCGGCCCTGCCTGGGGCTCTCTCTGGGTGGTTTGTGGGGTGTCGGAATCACAGCCTATGTGAATTGGGGGCCTCCTCTTCCTCAGTCCATGCGTGCTTCCCTCAGGCTGTATGCGTTACAGTTCCCCCTTGTTTTAGGTCTGTCATTGATGACTTTTTCATGCTTTCATGGCCCCTATATCTGCTCAACCCAGTTTGGAAATGTGCTGCTTCCTGACGCTTCTAACTCTTCTTGGTGGGAGTCCAGGGCCAGGGCTCCGGCGGGGGTGGGGTGGGTGGGGGGGCTCGGCCTCGGCGCAGGATTCCTGAGCAAAGGGCCCCGGGGAGCGGGGAGACAGGAGAGGAGCCCCCAGGAGGGAGAAGGCAAGAAGCCCAGCAAGGGGCAACTTCTGGCCAAGCCCCAGCCTCTCAGGACCCTGCGGAGGGCCGGGCACCCCACCCTGGGGTGAGCGTTCTGGGCTTTCCCGCTCCCGGCTAAGGTCAACCTGGGGACCTTCAACATCTCACACTTTCGGCGGTGCGGAGCCAGGCCTGCCTGCCCCCCTCAAAGCCGCGCGCCTGGGCTGGGGGAGCGGGCACAGGGGTTGTGCATGGACAGTGTCCACTGCGGGGTGGGAGACGGCCGCATCACTGCCCCCCATACAGTCCCTGGTTTTTCTTTTTTGAATACAAGATTGTGTATCAGTTTTCCAAGTCCTCTGAACGCACCGGTTGGAAGTTGGATCGTTACGGTCCTGAAGCTGCACGAGGACCTCAGCGTGTCCCTTTCATGCCGACTCTCCTCTTCCCACCGCCACGTCCTTCTGACCGCAGGCCTGGGAAGCTTTCGTTGTGAGGCTGAATTCAAAAGGCTGGGGATGGCTGAGGGATCGCAACTGTTAAATAAACATTTAAATAATGATATCAAAATGTTGCGACAAGAACTGCAGTTAATCAATGAAAACCCGGGCATGAGATGTCTGCGTAATTAAGGCTGGAGAACCAGCGATAACCCTCAAATGAACTCTACTTTGGATAGCTTCAGATAAGGATCTTTTATTGTTTTTTTTTCTTTAAAAGTGGTATGTCAACATCACTTCATCTCTACATTTCAGAATTCTGTACATTTCTTAAAAGGAAATAAGCAATGCTCAATGTACAAAATAAAAACAGAAAACTAGAAAATCTGAATAAAATGGAGCAAGTTGCCGTCGGTCATACAGTACAAATTAGTAATTAGATGTCTCCTGAAGTGCAATACCACTGCTGTGATGATGAGTTAAGGAAGGAAATAAAAATACTCTATTTTTAAACAAACAGTATATATATATTTATATGTATATTTTTTACAGATAGTAGACCCAGTGATATCTGCAGTATTGTAAAAACTTATTTACAAATAACTTTTTTTTCGACATTACATATACATCAGCACCATAGAAAAAACAAAACCAAAACAAAAACAACCTTATTAAAATCTACCTCTTCCTAGAGTTGGTCCCAGTATGAAGCACTTGGAGGAAGCTTTTGAAAGATAGCGGAGCCCCCTCCCGCTCCATCGGCCACCTCCAGTTTCTCATCATTGCTTTTATCTTTATTTCCTGCACCTTTCAGAAAAAGGTAATGACGTAGTCTGTGTCTTCACTTTTCTTTTTTGGTTTTCTTCTGCTCCCCTGGTGGCAGCGCCCCCCGCAGGGAGTCACCTGCCACCAGCTCTTCCCAGCGGCAGCCGCGCCGCTGCCCGCTGCACCTGCCTGGCCTCCTCTGCCCTCGCTCAGGAGACCTATAACCTTGGGACATGGCGGGCAGGTCAAGGCAGTGTCTGCCTGTCCCCGGCCCCCTCCCTCACCCCCCCCTTTCCATCCCAACACCCCTTCTTGGGACTTTCCCAGAGAGGAGGCCAGGCCGGCGTTGAGGCCGGGCTCTGGCGTGGTGGGTCGTGTGATGGGAGGGGCAGGGAGAGGAAGTGACTCCGCTCAGGACAGTCGACACCCCACGGGACGGGACGGGACAGGAGGCCAGGACGAGATGGCCTCGCTGATTATGGGATCAGGGCACGGAGGTTGGTCCCAGCCGACGGATTTTGCTTTAGGTGGATTTGAGTGAGTTCCAGAGAGAACAGCTGTCCTTGAAGCTCTGCAGCGGACTGCTTGGCCCCTCCGTGTCTGCCTCCTGTTCATCGTCAAAATGTGTAGGTGAAGCGACTGACTGGTCAGTTCTGCCCCTCTCTCCGGGCTTTAGATTTGTCTCTCCATGGAAGGGTGAGGCTGATTTTGGGTTGTCCAAGGAGATCCAGAGCCTGAGACCCCAGCAGGACCCCGGGCGGCTCCGTGTTAATCCTCCACGCGCACCAGAGCCGCCTGCCGAGCTCCAGGTGGGTGCGATTCACTCAGCTTTGCCCGATCCTGAAAGACAACCCAGCGCTGCCTTTGCGTCTCCCGCCTTGTCTAAGTTCTTCTTGCATTTATTCTGGCCCTGCCCAGGCTCCCTAAAGACAAAGGCTTCATCTCTTCTTGGATAGTCTGTGAGGAAAGTGCAGGCCGTGGGGCTGGAGGGGAAGGGAGGGGCAGCCAGGCTGGCACACCTGGCCGGGAACTCGGCCCCGCGGCCTCAGTCTTGGATGCCACGGCCAGGTGCGGCAGCAGAGTCCCGGCCCCGGGGGCTCCAGCCCCATCCCAAGTGAGGGCCGCTGTGGTCCCTCTTGCAGGGCCTCCCGGACTGCTGGACGGACCCTTCTCCAAGCCTTCTTGGTTCTCCTCGTGAAGGGTCATTGCACGGCAGCAGATGGGCCTCAAGGAGCCTTTGCTGTGTCCCCGTGACATGTCCTGCTCTTCGTGTCGACCCTTCAAACAGCGCAGCGGCCACGCAGCCCGACGCGGCTCCTGCCCGAGCCGAGCGCCTCGCGGACCCACAGTGCGCTGGCCCGCTACCCGCCAGCAGCCACGGTGCGGCTCTGGGGGTCCGGGGCTCTGTCTCTTATGTCTCCAAACCTGCGGTCTCCGGCCCTGGGCCAGGAGGGGCTGCCGGTCCCGGCTGCACAGCAGTCCCCTGGCCGGAGCAGCTCACGCTGGGCCCGGTGGCCCCAGGGCGCGCCTGGCAGAGGGGCTTCACTCGGTGCCCCACCTGCCCTGGGGCGGCCCCCTCTCTGGCAGCAGGGTCTGCACGGCGTCTGGACGGTGGCGGTGTGAGAATCAGGTGGAAGGAGGCCCACAGGGCGGTGGATCGGCGCCTGTCTTCCCGTCAGCCAGCTGTAGTTTTGCTCAGTTTACGTGGGTCAAAAAAACAAAAAAACAAGGATGGGTGACATCCTGTTTCTTTTTGTGGTTTAAGCTTTGACCACCGGAATCGTGGCTCTGGGGGTTCCCCGTGACTAGGGGTTTCCAAACAATTCGTCCAGCTCCTGCATCCACTCGTCGCCCTGCCCCCCTTTGATGATGGAGTCCACCAGGTCGGTGCTGTCCGGGAGCCCCGGGAAGGCAGCCCCGGCGGCTTCGCCGCTGTAGCCGTAGGACAAATCCGGGGGCGGATTCCGTTCGTAGCCTTGGCTCTGGCTGTTCGTGGCAAAGCTGCCGCCGGGCATCTGCTGCTGTGCTGGGGCCTGGCTGAACGCTGGCATGCCAGGGATGCCCTGGCTCAGGCCAGACATGACCATGGGCCGGGCCTGGCCGGCGCCTGGCTGCCCTGGGAGCGGGGGCATCATCTGCCGGCCCATGGCGGCCGGATTGAGGGTTCTCACTGCGCCCGTGTTAGCATCCACCACCTGGCTCAGGCCCTGCGGGAAGTGCTGCTTGCTCAGCCGTGGCTGGCCAGCCGCAAGTGGGTAGCTGGCACCATTGTTGAATGCCCCCAGCTCTCCACTAGTCCTCCCGGGCAGCCCCTGCAGGCCCCTCTGCGGCCAGCTCTGTGCGCCCTGCTGCACCGCTCCCATGAGGTTCTGCAGCCTCGGTGGGCCCTGGGGTCTCGGCAAGGCCTGGCCCACTGGCCCTTTCATTTGCTGGTGCTGCTGGGGGATGGCCGAGTTCACCAGCATGCTCTGCCCAAAACCACTGACCATCCCGACCCCCTGCCCAGAGGCAGGCGGCCTCGGCCCCGGGGCGGGGTTGTGTGCCATGCTCAGGCCGCTTTGGTTTGGGTGCTGCAGCATTTGGGTCATGCCTGTGCTCATACTGTACACTCCTGGCTGGCTGGTAGGGGTGGAGCTGTAAGGGGCCAGGCCCATCTCCGACGGGGCAGCTGCCGTGGCCACTGTCCCTGGGTTCTGGGAGGGACCCATTCCCATCATGCCTGCGTTCTGGGCCATCAACCGCGAATTCCTCATATTCTGAAGGGCTGCTTGGCTTCTCACGGCCGCGATGTCCTGGGGAGAACCTGCCGGGAGCAAAGCACAGGCAGGGTCATCGTCTCGACAAGCATGCGCCTCAGCAAGGGGCTGGATTCTTTTATACGACAGAAACTACTCAAAAAATAAAGTCTGCATAAAAGCGATTTTTTTTTCTGTTTATAACATAAGCTGATTGTGAAAACTGAAAAATACCGAAATGCATGAAGATAGAAATTAGAATCGCTGGAATTCCACCATCTAAAGATTGGCCACTGCTGACCATCGTTTACCTATAATGGACATGCACAAAGTTAGGATACACTGTGCACTCACTGCTGTGGTTGGATTCTCCCACTTGCTCTACACCCTGATTTTATTTTTATTCGCATTTCAGAGGCAAATTGTTTCTCACTCTTTTTGATATGCTGCCATCCTCAGCCAATAAGACAGCAATTTCCTTAGAGGTGAGAGGGAATTCACCTCCTGGGCCAAATTAAGGCAAAACGGTTGATCACTTTGCATATTCTATTTGTGAAGTGGAACACGGTTCAGTGGAGAATACTGTCAATAAAGACCATTAGACTAATTTCCCTTAAGACTTGAGTAGGATTGGAGAGGTTAAAGGCCATTGCTTCTGCTAAGAAGCTCTTTCGACAGATGGGATATTTTTTGGATCCACTCTGCAGACTTCCACATGCTCCAGATTGTCTGCATCATAACATGTCAGGGTAGCCTGGCCGGTTTCCTGAGCTCAAAAAAGAAATCATCCTGCTACTTGCTACTTGGCAGTGAACTTCATGCATGTCTCCAGTGAAGTCCACTCCTTCCAAATGACGCCTGCTTTTGGGGGTTTGCTACCATGGTTTTACTGTTTAAGAGCGTTCTGCTCAACTCTAAATAGGCAGGAGACTGAGTCCTTTTTTACACATTCCCGGGAAATTTCCTGATCAGCCAGGAGAAGAGAAATGCCACTCTCAGCACCCCAGTCAATGCTGTAAGGGCCGGGGGTTGCACACGCATGGATTTTTCTATATCCTTGCTGATGATTAAGTCTGTGAGAAAAAGAAAAATAGCTTCTCCATGGATGTTCAGAAAAGCTGCAGCTTGGGAGCCAGTCCTGATCGTAAGCAAATTTGATCCCACGTGTGACCGGCTGAGAAACCAGATGACGCTGAGGGAGTTTGCTCAACTTGGCACCTGGCAGGTAAGTGAAGTCTGTTTGTGTTTCCCTGATGGGGTTATTGATTTCTGGACAGCAAATGCATCTCCATATTTTCTTTAAGAAAGAAAATTATAGGAATTCTCATTATTATTTTTATGGCTTGAGGTCAGTATTAAGCTGCGTGGAAAAACAAAATGGCGCTATGGGGAAACTGGAATGATGACGCAGGGATTTCCAGAGTTGTTTTGGGTTTTTTGGTTGATTTAAGCTTAATTATATTGAAGTGATTCTTAAAAATCAAAAGTTCCTGATCAAACACTGAATGGTCATATATACTGCAGCTTGTAATCTTCGTATGAAGTTCTGTGATCTTAACAAGCTAAATTTGTATCAATCACGTGGCCAATCTGATCAATGGTGGTAAAGTGGGTTATTGAATTATTAAAAACTGAAGGGAAAATATTGCTGACTCAGCGACTGATTAGCGAGACCCAAATTACAGAGACTGGGCTGCAGGAAACAGATGAGAGCCGTTCCTATTTGGGGCATTTTTGTTGTAGGTTTGTATGGGGTAAGTTGAGGGGCTGGTATTGTCTGGAGGAATTTTGTGAATGAGAAATAGGTTCCTTTTTTTAAAGAACTGAACTACTGTGAAGCTTTTTAGAGATACTGAAACATTATTCCATCAACCTTTATTTTTACGTAGTGTAAACGATTGACGGGGGTGTAATTCTGATGGGGGGAAGGGCACTTAAAAATCATTATTTTCAAACTATGAGACACTCAAAAGCCTTTCATAATTTTCTTGCCTTCAATAACTTAAAATATACACAAGAAAAAAAATTCCAATGTTAAAACAGTCTTCCTTTTTTTCTTTTTGTCTAAAACATACTATGGTGAGATGCTACAGTCAAATTAATTTTCTTGTTTGCTGGTTAATATCACAACACCACAGTCAATCTATATTCAAATAGAGGTTATTGATAATATGCAATTTATTTCTTGGAAGGGTCCATGTTCTACTTTTACTCACAAGAGCCTGTGTTGATGAAAAGTAAGCATCCCCAGAGGCTTGGAACATTGCCCAGAGGTTCAGAACGCAAGAAAGAGGGTCCTTTAAGCCTTGGGAGTGCGTGAGGGTGAGACCACCACAGGTTCTTGTTTAAGTTATTCTAACAGAACTTCTCTCCTAGGAGGACATTTCCTCCCTGTCCACTGGCTATTCTCTGCAGCAAAGCATCTGCTCCTTGTTCATATTTGGGGCTGTTAGGAAACATGGGGCTGTGATATTGGGGTGTTAGGAAAACACTGAAAATTGTAAAAAATTTATTAACCAGTTCGAGGACCCTATAATGTTGCTGGTGGTTTAGTTTAAGAGCAGCTACATTTTCAGTTTGATTACCCAAGATTTGGGTTTTTAGAAATGGTCTAGAGTAGAATTTTTAAATTGGACCCAAAGTATTCAAAGTAACTCATACTATAGAAGAATTATTAAATTTTGGTGGGTCCCTTTATTCTAAAAATAAAATAAATGCGATGAATCTAGAAAACCCCAGAGACACGCTGCCAGGTTGATCAGATTTGATGTTTTTAATTTGTTCATAATGTAAAGCACCTGTTCTCAAAGTGTGGCCCTCCCCCACCTCTAGACTCAGGAACTCCGGCGAACTTAGTAGAAATGGAAATTCTTGGCTCAGAAACTCTGGGGTGGGTTGGGAATCGGGCTGTATCTTAGCAAGTTCTGTGGGTGACCCTGATACAGGTTAAGGTCTGAGACTGCAGGTATGAGGAGCGCTGGGTCTGTAACAAAAACTACTTCCAACCACTGACAGTGAGAAAGGCAAGTCTTCAAAGGACGCTGCCTAATTTAGCCACAGATGCCTGCGGACGCTTGATTCCTTTTGCCCCATCCCTGGGTCAAGTTCAAAGCCCCAGGGTGGAAGGAAGTGGCTCCAACTGGAGCCTAGTTTTGTTTCGGGCAAGCCTCAGGGGAGCTGGCAGCGAACACCCACAGCCTCAGGCCCCCCAGACACGGCTCTCGGAGCGTGAGCTGGCCCATGAGCATGGCGGCTCATAGCAGGAACCAAAGTCCTCGTTTTCACCTCCCTGGTCGTTTCTACTGTATTTCATTTAAAAAGTGTTGGCTGTGGTCCACTCAGCTGTCTTCACCACCTCCTTGCGCGTTGCAACCCAGAGACTGAAAAACAGGGTTTTTCAGATCATGAATTTTTCACCCAAAGCCCACGAAGGAGGGCAAGGCTAGTGACAGGACACTCAGAGCCTCATGTGCTTATATGTCATGCATATTTTTTACAAGGAGCTTCATTGCTTCAGGCAGATTCTTTACCCTTGAGAAGTTGGGGTGCACAGATGACAAGGATGGCGGAGGTAGGATTTCCAGTGCTAGGTGATGCCTGTAAATCCCTGAAAACTCGCCTGGATGAGATGGAAGGGTCCCCTCAGGCTCACCCCCGACAAGAGCCTCAAGGGCTCTCTCTGGTGCAGACAGGAGGGTATGATACTCAGTGGAGCTTCTACTCTCAAAGGCAGACAATGCTGGGCGTGCGGTGCGCCAGGGGCCCCCCAGGGGTCATGGTTTGGGATTTTCTCCTCTGGCGGCGGGATGGAGACACTCCAGTCACACTCCAGGCCCTGTTTGTGCTCACATGCAGCCAGATTCTTCAGCCCAGCGCTGGCGGCTGGAAGTGCGGGCTCTGACCAGCTGACTGGCGGGGACTGGCAAGTAAGGTGCGGGGCAGGATTGTCCTCGCTGCGTCACCCGGGTGACCTAAAGCTGCGGCGACCAGGGTGTCCTTCCTGGTGGTTCACTACTGAAATGCTCGTGTAATCTGGTAAAGAACAACCGCCCCGGGTTCAGGCCCACTCCTTCCTGGCCCACCAGGACCCCAACCCCACCCTGGGGCCCGGCGACCAAGGAGGGACCACCCAGCATGGCAGGGGCCTCCAGCATGTGTTCTGATTGGTTGATACTCTTGTTCTTAAATATTCTGAATATTTAAGGCACACACGAGTGCGCACTCACACACACACACGTACACAGCGTGTGAGGGCACGTCACTGGCTGCACACCCGTGTCCGTGCCCAGCTGCGGGGCAGAAGGCGGACGAGGTGCCCGGGCCTTACCTTGGAACTGGTTGACCTGCTGCACCGGGTAGGGGTTCCGCTGCGGCTGCAGGTGCTGCCGGGGCAGGTGAGGCTGCTGCAGCTGCTGGAAAGACAGAGGCAGAGGGCAGAGGTGAGGGGCAGCAGGAGGCCAGGCTGGGAGCAGCGTTATACAAAATGAAAGTGTGTACTAAGGAGCAAGTGCATCGGGCCGTGCACAGAAAGCTGGCGGGTTTTCGTAAAATGAACACAGTCCAGGGACCCCGCGCACAGCTCTGGAGCAGACAGCCCCGGAGCCCCTCAGCCCCCTGAGCCATGAAGCTGCCCAACTGCTGCAAAGGGGTGGTGTGACCTTGGCCTGTCCTCAGCCTCCTCCGGCAGCTGCTGAATATTCATGACGCGCCTCCCGAGGGCTGCGGAGACCTCACCCCGCGGCCCTGCTCTGCGGAGTGTTCATTATAAAAATAACACACATTGACCACTTCGTCACACAAGTGTTTATTTCTATTTTCTGTCTCTCTTTTTCCCCCCGAGCCGCTCTATAATTTTCTTTCTTTTTTCCCCTATTTCTCCACCAGGCCAGCCAGCCTCTGGCAACCAGATAAAAGAGCAGCCTCGGCCGCTCGCCCCATCCTGCGGTGCCCACCAGTGCGTTTTGCACAAACTGTTGAAATTAATTAATTGTGCAGACAATGGGGAGACCAGAAGCTAAATGTTTAGGCGGCCATAGATGGGCGTGACTGACAGGAAGCTGAGGACTTAAAGGCTTCTAAACTCCCCATGTTATGTCGGAACTGAACTGTCCCACCAACAACTGGGGATAAGCTCGGATGGCCCGCTAGGGCCGGGCCGCAGCAGTCCTGGGGGTTTCTGCCTAGCTCGGTGTCCTCCCATAAATCACCTATTGTCTGCGGCCTCAGTTTCCTCATCTGTAAAGTAAAGGGACCTTGAGATCTCTGATGTTTCCTGCAGGTGTGAAATTCAGGCACCTCTGGGGATGGAGGAGAGGCGCTGGCCTTTGAGGTTGATCCCCTTTCAACCTGCTCTGCTCCGATTTCCCAGGCCACCCGGCATCATCTTAAAGTTCCCAATCATTTTAAAGGGTCTGCAGCGCCCACATCCCTCTGTTTCCCCGCCCATGTCCTTCCAGAAACCCGTGTTTCCAATTTGCTTTTTTCAAAACTGAAGGCTTTCGAAGCTGCTGCAAAGACCAAGGAGCTTGGCAGGGTGTTGAGAGGACAGTCCTTCCCTGGACAGACCGTGGACAGTCTCCCTCTGGCCCCACCCCCGAGGGCCTGTCCCCGGGCACCGGTGAGGGGACATGCAGTGTCATCTCTCGGGTCACGTTGGGCAGGTGGGAGGACAGGCCCATACACCTGTGCAGTTCCTGCAGCCCTGGGTCCCGTGTGACCCTTACAGCAGCGACGGCTGGGAAGTGGTGACCCCTAACCTGGCAGGTGAAGAGTGAGGGTAAGTGGCTTTTCTAGAAATTGTGCCAAGAGCAAAGGTCTGGTACTTTCTGAGCTGGCGGGTGATCTTCCCCTGGCCCCTCGCCGTCTCCTGGTACAACTGCCAAGGAATTACAGGACATGTCTGCAGCTTCCTCTTTTCCCACCTTTTCCAAGGAGCGCTGTATTTCTGTGTGTCCTGAGGTGGGGGTCCTGAGGCAGCCCCATTCTCTCACCTCCTACTCTGGGGTCATCCTGTGGCCACTTCTGGGATCTGAAGGCCCCCCGTTCTTTTACTTCTTAGTTGGGGTGTCAGAGGCAGCTTTCTCCTCTCTCTGCTCCCTCCTCATCCCAGTGCCTGCTGACCTCATGGAGGGGGCTGCCTGTCAGCCTGCCCCCCACCCCTGTGGTCACGGCACAGGTGCCACAGGCCACCCCCGGGGTCTCGGCACACCTGACGTTTCCCGGGATCAGCTGTGGCGAGGCTTCACCCAGCCCTCGTCCCCTCAGCAGCCCATTTATCACAGCCCGAGAGACACGAGCGAGGTTCCCTGTCACACACCTTATGCGGGGTGAGAGGGACAAGGTTTGTTTGTACAAGAGCTGCCAGGCGGCTGACTGACCTCGGTAAGAAGGGAGATAATTACACAGCTGTTCAGGAACAAAAGCAAAAAAATCGAACACAGAGTGAGCTGTGCGCGCTGTCTAATTCTTCTCTTAGGGGAATGACTGGTGTCCCCGTCATGCTGGCCTTGCTAGTGGGGGCCTCCACCTGCCTGCGTCCCCCATTGTGTCTTGTAACCATGTGGTGGAGGAGGCTTGTACATTGCCAGAATTCTGATTCCGTTAGGAACATTCTAGAAGGATAGCTGTGGAGGCAGATCTGTTGGGCTTTGAGTCTCCTACTATTCCTTCCACCTGCTATAAAGAAAGCACGAGATGCCCTGTATAGACCCCCCAGAAATCCTCTAGGGATCTGTGGGCACGCTCTCAGGCCTTCCTGAAATAACACTAAATCAGGCACAGACCTCACAGCCCCGGGAAGGCTTCCTTTCAAAGCTGGAGGAATTACATGGCACGGGTGGACGAAGACACCAGGATAAAGCTTTGTTTGGGTTGGGTCTTTTTCTCTCTTTCTTTTTTTTTTTAGAGTTATTTATTTATACGTACAAGAACCTGGGCACAGGCAGATGCACGGGAGGGTGAGAGGATTCACCAGAGACAGAGCGGGGAGCAGAACAGGCAGACTGACGAACTACATTGCTGAAGGGAGCAGCGGGCACGACAGGAGAGGTCTGCGGTGCCATGTGGGTAGCTTGCCGGCCGGCTGGGATGGAACCAGAGCTGCAGAGGCTGCGGACAGCCTCGCAGCGTGGCGCTCAACCGCCTGTGCCACCAGGGGAGGCCTGGGTTGGGTCTTCTTTTAAAGATTTCCTGGGCTGCTGTAAAAGCTGGTAGGGATTCCCCTAAGTTGGCAACCGCTCTGTGGCCCTGACTGAGGTTTCCAGGTAGTTTGAGGGGCCTGCTCTCCTGCTACTGTTCCTGCCCATTGTTCATGACTAAGTCTGTGGAATTCTCAACCCTCCTCCTGAGACTGCCCTCTAAGAAACAAGATTCTCTGAATTATTTTCTCTTTTTCTTCATGCTAGAAATATTAAAAGAATGTCAGCCAGTCCCCACCCCTGCCCCCACGCTGATTTCGCAGACCCAGTTCCAGAAACCAGAAGAAAAGGGGTGAATTGAAAAAATGTCTCTGGCAAATGGGCCTTCAAGCTGATGGCTGCAGTCGGTCTTTTAAGAACGAACGCATTCATTCTAAGAAAAAGCCTAACTCATTGAAAGGTCTGAGTCCTGCAGGTCTTCTGTGCTCCTGGAAAATGCCAGGCCGTGAATATTCTGAAGCAGCGGATGAACAAGGCTCCCTCCCCGACCCCGGGTGCTGAAGGGGTGCACTGCACCGTGGGTTACCTGCTCCACCAGAAGCTGCTGCTGCTGCTGCTGCTGCTGCTGTTGTTGCTGCTGCTGCTGCTGCTGCTGCTGTTGCTGCTGTTGCTGCTGCTGCCTTTGCTCCCGTAGGAACTGCTGCTTCTGTTGCTCCATCAGCTGGGCCCGCTGGTCGATGAGCATCTGTTTCATGATGGCGGCCTGCGGCTGGCTGCCCAGAAAGCTGGGGCCTGCAGGGCCCGCTCCCGAGACCATGCCGCCTGAGCCAGGGGGCACGGAGGACGGCATGGGGCCCGTAGTCCGAGGGAGCCCCACTGGGTGCTGCTCCTGGAGGGACAGGAAGAGAAGAGAATGCAGCTGCTGAACATCTGAAGAGAAACAGGACAGGGAACTGGCCGAGGCCTGGGCTTGTGGGCCGGTGGTGCCGAGTGCCACGGGTTATATTTCATGACAAACCTGGTGGACCACAGTGGGACTGAGAGGCCATGCGGGACAGACATGGAGCGTGGCCGGGAAGCCGGAGCCCAAGTTAGCCTGTTCTGGATGGGACCGGCAGAGAGACCAGGAGTGGGTTTTCAGCTCCCATCTCTTTGTTCCTCCAAAGCCCAGGAGTAAGTCCTCAGGCTCACTCTAAGTCTGGAAACTTAGTCCTTATTGCCTACCTGGACAAAATGCAATTCTTGGCTAGCAGGACACACATTCTAGAAGCCTCCTGGACGTGATTAATTGACAGATGTGCTATTTGGTGGAATTCTAATAAATCGCAACATTTGAAAGCTTTGATTATATTAAAAAAAAGTCCTCCCAGTGCGAGTTATTGACGGTGGGACACACAATCTCCCAACATCTTTGAACACAGAAGTGAGTCTTGTATGTCTGGGGTAACTGAAATGTGGAAGGGTTAAACCGGGTTTCTTGAATCTGTAATTGTGTCAATCAGTCAAAAAATGGCAACTTTTAAAGTAGTGGAGACCTTCTCATACCCAGCCCCAGTGGCTAGCTGGAGAATGTGCACGGAGGAGAGTCTGTAACGAATGGACAGTGTAGCCCACGAGGGAAAAAAGTTGCTGGGAAGGGGAGGGTGTGGCCCAAGGATTCAGTTTCCAGTCATTTCCTTTCTGGTTCATTCTGCCAAGCACACCTGGTAGTGGCAGGAATTGTCTGAACTTTCTGCAGAAATATTTCTTTTCATTCGTTCAAGTTTCAAATAACTTCTCTGAGCACAGAGGAGCTGGTGTCTGACACACACACAAATGGGCTGATGTGTAAGGACACACTCAGGCCTGCTGGGGCGACATGAGGTGGCATCAATAGGAAATGAACGTGAATGACGAGGGTTATTTAACAAGTGGTTTAATCCAAACTGGATTTTAATATTTCTCCTCTGCTACTGCTTTAACATAGATTTAGTCAACCACGCTTGCTCTTTCCTCTGCAGACATACAGTTGAGTTTGATCTCAGTCTCTTCTAGAGACACAGACCAGGATTGGATTCCCCATAGCCAGGGCGGCCACACCCCGGACCCTAGTGTGGGACTGGGCCTTGCACACAGCCCTTCCAGCTGCGCGGCCCCTGGATGTCTTCGGTGCTCCTCTTCCCTGGCTCCACCCAAACAAAACAAAGCAAGCAACACCACCCCACCAAAGCCCAGCACTCCTCCGGGAAACAGCGTTTGATGAGTGTAGAACCTGGGCGGGGGCACATGGATAGAAAATGAAAGAACTGGAACACTGACCGGGGTGTAAACTCAGTATTTGCCCCTCACCTCCAGCCCTTCCTAGAACACGGGCACGAGCAAGAGTGCCCGAGAGCTGCTGGAGACCAGACAGTTGGCCCTGGTCAGTGCTCACGTTCTGTTTCTTCAGCACGAGGTACATTGCAGAAGTTACTGTGTTTTCTCTCCAAATTACTAGGCGGAGATTACTGGCAGTCACCAGGGGGAGAGCTATCAAGTTCTTATGTTACCAAAAGGCCTTATATGCAAACATGCCGGCATGCCGTGTGCAACACAAAATTTGATTTTATGACTGGCCCACAAAGGCTCAAGCTGTTTTAGCATCTTCCCTTTCCCCTTCATCCAGCAGGTTCTTGAATAACAGTTTTGTGATAACATCGATGAGAAAAAAAAATGTCAGCCGACATAGAACTCAATCTGTGGTCAGAGGACTGGTTTCGTCATCCACCGCTTCACTCACAGCCGTGCTTTCCCAGAACCTATGAACAGGCGTTAACAGACACTGGGCGAGGCTGCTGAATTTGCTGTTTCCCAAGCACTTGCTCCAAGGGATAAAGCTGCTTCTTGTCACCTTTAGAGACAAACGCTGATTGACTTAACACTTTAAGCAGTTCGCAGTGAGGACCAGCTCACCGATGAGCAGAAATACAGCTATACGGCTATGTGTGTTTCAGGAGATTCCAGTTTCCAGTTTTGATAAAGAGAGTTGCAAAGAAAAGGGGACCTATGGGAAGATAAGGTTTTCTTCGGCTTGATTTGATGAGTGGGCTGGCCGGCCTGTGCGCCCAGGGCCCCGTGTTCCTGTCCCAAGGGAGCGCCCCAGAACTGGGTGCGTGCCCAGAGGGTAAGCGGTGATGCGTGGCCTGCCCTGCCTTTTCTCTACCAAAAAGAAAGCGAGAGGCTTGTGAGAAGATGCTGGTGCATGTAAGTGCTTCAGGCCGCTTCTTCCTGGGGCCAAAGGGAAGACAGAAAACAGAAAACCCATTTCCCCAAGCGCGTCCCTCTGCCAGGTCCTGGCGGCTGGTTTCTCACTGAAGACCTGAAGACAGAGGTGTTGGGTAAGGCGCCTGCTAAGGAGTGCCCCCCACCCCGAAACACCCGCGGATCCGTGATGATAACACCTTCAGGGCTTCCCCAACAAGCTTCTCCAAATTTGAGGGTGCAGTGGCACCTGCAGCCCCAGCCTCGGGGGTGCATTCGAGTGTACTGCCAAGTGCAAAGCGCACCCAGACACCTGCCTTCCAAATGGAGCGGGCGGAGGCCATTAACAGGTTCACATTACAAGAGGCTTTTAACCTGCAGCCTAGGAGGCCGTAATGAGCAGTGTCTCTGCCCAGTTTCAGGACTTCAAGCCCCCGCTCTTGCTTCTCAGGCGGACACACACTGGGTGTGCAATTACGGGAAAGCGGCCGAGCTTTCTTCACCAGAAGTGTAAAGCTGGCAGCCAAACGATGCAGTATTTTTAGTTTTAATTACTGGTTCCCCATTCCACCCCCGGCACAACCACCACCCCTGCTCCAGGCTCCACCTCCAAGGCTCTTCCCCAAGGGGCTGGCTACCCCGCTTCCTCCTCCCCAAGCGCTCTCACCTGCCAGTGAAATAAAGGGGTGTGTGTGTGGTGGGGGAGCAAAACCAGCCAAGCCCTTGGACAAATCTTCTCCCTCCAGAGAAAAGATCTCTGCCATCTTCCAAGGGCTGGAGAGAGGTAGGAGGTGCCAAGGACACCCTCCCTCCCTCCCCAAAGAGGCAGTTTTCTACTTCAAAAAACAGCTGTGGCACAAACACCCCCCAGGAGCCGCCAGCTGTTTATAAATCTGCGCGCGGGGAAACTGTCTCAGTGTTTCCACGAACAGGAGTCGTGTTCGGGGCGCGGGGCCGGGGCTGCGGGCGGCCCCCGAAGCGCGCGGCTTCCTTGGAAAGTGGGGCTCACAAAAGGCTGCGGGGGGCGGCGGTGATGCCGGGGGCGGGGGGGCGGGCGCGACTGACTTGGGGTGCCCGTGGGGGGACGCGGGCGCGGCGGCTGCTGTTCCCCGCGGCCCCGGCAGATGGTGGTGTGCGCCCGCGCCGCGCCCGCGCGCAGATGGCTCAATCAGGACTCGGGGGCCCCCCCCGCCCCCCGCCCCCCGCCCCCCGCCCCCCGCCGGCCGGGGCCGCGCGCCGGGCCGGGCAGTCAAGTGTCCGCGGCCGCAGGTAGCCTGGCAACTGCGCGCGCCGAGCCGAGCAGATGGCGCCGCGCGCCTGATGGACACCACACTCGGCAGCCCAGACAATCCGGGAATTCCCTGGTGACTCGCGGCCTCTTTACACAAAATGAGCTCTCGCTCCGCGGCCGCGCATCTCGGGGTGCGTCCCCGCCCCCCGCCGACGCCGCCTGGGTTCTTATTACCGCCTCGTCGCCGGCTCCAGGGGGGGCGCGCGGGGTGGCGAGGGCTGGGGCTGGAGGGACGCGCGGGGCCCGCGGAGGGGTGGGGGGCGCGGGGCGAGCCCGGGCCGGGGGCGCCGAGCTGGGCGCCCGCTCCGGCTGCACAAAGCCGCGCGCGCGGGGAGGCGGCGCTGCCGGGCGAGCCCCGGGGCCGGCTGTGCCCTCGCGCGCGGCCTCGAGCCGCCGAAATGGAATTTAGGGTTTTACTAAGAAGCCCCTGCGGCGCAGTCTGGCCTCTCCACGCGGCCTGTGTGCTTCCAGGTCCTCGGGGACGTCAGGGGGGGCCGTGCGCCCCGCCGGGCCGAGGTGCCTCCGGGTGGGCGCAGGGAACCGAACAAAGAAATGCCGGGCGGTACGCGTGGGGAGGACCCCACTGGGTCACTGCGCTTGGGGGCCGGAGGGGGTGCATGCTCCCTTCCCCCCAACCGTGAGAACCGGTGGCCTGGAAGGAGCGGGGCGTGGGGTGGGGTTGGGGGTGCTGCTTGCGGTAGGGAAAAGTGAAAAAGCGGTCAATACCCCAAGCAACAAGGGTGTCCTGGAAACAGGTCTGTGCACACACTGAACAGGGTCAAGTAATTAAAAACAACCACCACCACCCGGCTCTCCAGCGGGAATGGATGTTGCCTAGATCTGTATGTCAGGAGGCTCCTGTGTGTCCAGCCTCTCTATCCAGGGGTTTCTCCTGCAAAGGTTCTGTTTAAGCGTCAAGTTTCAGAAGGAGGAAGCCTATTCACAGGTGGAAGCTACCATTTCACGGACATCACACTTGCTGGTATGGGGGTGCACCGGTGGCCGGAGGAGGACCCACCGCCCACCCCTTCCCTGGGCTGGCTGCAGGCGGCGGGCAGAGCTGGCACTGTCAGGTCAGGGAAGCCATGTGACTGCTCCCCCCCATCCCTCCACGTGAAAGTCATACTTAAAAGACTCCTTCACACTGGAGATAAAAGTTAATGACGCTGTACAGAAAGGAAATGCCTAAGAAGATGTGGAAACCTCCCCTATCCCCAGTGTGGGCTGCTAGGAAGTAGAGCTGCAGATCCGGGGTTCTCAAAGTGCGCTTCTTTGGCCAGCAGCATTGGCACCAGCCGGAGCTTGTTAGAAATGCAAATTCCCAGGACGCACTTCGGAAGCTCTAGGGATTTTTGAAAGCCCCCCAGGCCATGACTGTC